TGGAGACGTGAGAGTCCAAGGCCTCAGCCGAGGACCCAGGACAATCCCGGGAGTTTATGTGCCGTGTCTTTCTATTTCTGTGACGTTCTTGGACTGATGGTCACAGAGGTGAGGGTCAGATTATGCTGCCAGGGCTCAAGGAGGGAGGGGGTGGCTCCTTGTGGGGGTAGAAATGTCCTGCACTTGTCCTGACTGTCCGGGGCCTGGTTGTGATACTGTCCTGTAGGTTGGGGGAAGCCTGGGGGAGGGGCGCACAGGACCTCCCTGCAGTGTCTCACGCCTGCTTGTGAACGTACAATTATCTCAAAACTAAAGGCTTAGTTTAAAAGCAGATACTACATCACTAATCAATAGAATAGAAACATAGGGCGGAGAGACTGGAGGAGGCTGTGCCCTCAGGACAGCCCAGGTGGAGAGGGCGGGCTTGGTTCTGTGTCACTGCACTGCTGGGGTCACCACACAGCCACAGCTGGGGCCACACTATCTACCCTAACCCTAACCCCCAGACCCCCCAAAGTCTGGGTCCACCTGGTGTGGCAGAGTTGGCAGGACCAGTGCAGGATCTGGGTGCAGTGGGGGCCAGGGGTTCACCCAGCATACGTAGCTTCCAGAGGAGAGGTGGGACAGAAAGGGGGGAGGCTCCCCTCAAGTGAGCCCAGAGGTACACCCCGGGCCCCGCCTTGCAGGCTGGTGTGCAGCTTGGAGCTGGGAGACCAGCTGCCCAGCTGCCCCTCCTGTCCCTGTGCGCACGGCCAGCTCCGACTCGTCCCCACGTTCTCCCTTCCCTGCCCCCTGAGTGTCACCACAGTTCTGGTCTCGGGACCCCAGCTTCATGTGCACGTGACAAAAATCGAAATGTTCAGGCTTAAAGATCCCTCCTGTTGGAAGAGCCGCAACCCTGAGGGGTCTGGTTCTCTGCAGGGAGCTGTGCCCAAAGAACCTTGCTAGGTCCAGGTCAAGGGAAATGGGGAGGGGACAACGCAGCAGCCCCCAGGATGCTGACATCATCTGGGTGGGGGTGATGGATGCTGCCTCCTGCTTCACCTCCAACCCAGCTCTGAGCAGTGGGGCTGCTGGGGGCCAGCAGGAAAGCCAGGGCCCACCCAGCCTGGCACTTAGAGCAGGAGGAGGGAGCAGGGCACCCAGGGGCCCGAGCCATCATGTCCTGGGCTGTGCTTGGCCCTGCTGCCTGTCCCCCACCACCTCCCCACCCTCAGGCCCCTCACCCCTGCTCCTGGCTGCAGCCTCCTCTGCCCTCCCCGTCCCCTGCTCACCCCCACTGCCCATCTCATGTGTCCCCTACCTCAG